TGCTTCCCTTCAGGATCTCAAGTTTGTGCTTGCCTCGTGTAGTTTGATGATTTGCGTAATGAATGTCCTATCGACTTCCATCATCTTTTTCTAATTTCCTCTTCATTTGGAAGCCGCTTTGTTCTATCCCATAGTAGATTGTTGCTGATAGTACGTGTAATTTCTTGATGATGGTTGTAGTAGTTCTCCAGGTTTCAGCTCCGTACAGTAGGACTGTCTCTACGTTCGTATTGAAGATTCGCACTTTGATATTGGTTGACAGTTGTTTTGAATTCCATATGTTTAGTTGTAGGAATCCGTGCCTCCACATGTACATCAGATCCTCCTTGTTCATCCATAGTCCTGCTTAGAGACGTGAAAGAGCTTCTCCGTCAAGTATGATTGAGTTGGTGTTCTCCACGTTGTAGTTGAGGATCTTGCTCTTTCCTTTATGTATGTTGAGGCCTACTGATGCAGAAGCTGCTGCTACACTATTTGTCTTCATATGCAGTTGCTCGTTTGTACGGTATAAATGAGCTAGGTCATCTGTGAAGTCCAAATCTTCGAATTGATTCTGAGTTATGCATTGTATTCCGTGATTCTTTCTAGATGTGAAGAACTCCATAATCCAGTTAGGATGAAAATGCGTCCTAGATTCCATTGCTAGCCACTATCCATCTTTGCTTAAAAAGCTTGTGGCTTAAGGCTATAACGAAGCAATCCACATAGGATGCACATATGTCAACATGAGATTGATCAAATGCACTCTTAAATAACATTGGGAAGATACAAGTAAAACAATGCCAAGTGAATTTGTAATGTTCATTCAATATTTTTTTGGACTCTCTTTTTGATGATCAATCTCCACCTAATAACAAATAAATGTATTTAAGTTCATCAATATTTTGGGATAGTATAAACTATATAATAAGTAAACTTCATGTTTGATGCAAAAACCATTAGAGATTTGTATAAACCCATCATAGTATGTAAATTAGAAGTAAACTGTATTACATTACTTAATTGTAGGATGTGATGATCAAAAACACTATGCACTCGTTTCATTGTGTTTAACGAACCATATTTGAGGTAGACAATAAAGTGGTTTCGATTTGAAATAAATCTTATGCTTTATGCAATAATCCATTTGATGCTGCAACTATTAACTGGTGTTTTCTAAGATTGTTTATATATATATGAAGTAAATTCTTATTTCGTAATATGGCGTGCCCATCATTTAATCCCACTAGTGAGTAACTAGTTTATTCATAACTCACTGGTGAAACAGGACACAAGATTAATTTCGAAGGGAACAAAATGCTTCAGAAACGTTCTAGCACACATAAAGAAAGATTAACCACAGAAACGCTTTATATATATACATATATATATATATATATATATATATATATATATATATATATATATATATATATATATATATATATATAATAATCTCATATGTTTCATTTAGAATAATCTGGTTTATTTCAAATGATTTATTTTAATATAATAAATTAGAAGGTATTGATGGTTGGATGCAATACTTGTTAACTATCGTAAATATGAAATCTGTTTAATTGCTAGACTTAATAATCTAATCAAATAGATTACTTGAAGACTGTTGATTGAGATGGCCTAGATTGTTTACACGCAGTAGTCATCATCACTATGTATAAAAATAAGTGTTTTTTTAAGTAAGTGATTATAACAAATACAGAATGTCACTGGTTGAAATCATGAGTCAGTTGAAGCTAGACTACCATGTTTTTGTTTAAATTGAAATCATGAACCGAATGATGTTAGATTACCGTTGAAAACCTAAAAGCACAAGACGGCAGTTTCGTCCTATTGTGGGACTCCTCACCAGTGTGCATCCATGATTCCACCTCGTGGAATTCGAACCCAAGGCCTTCAGCCTTGCACTCAAGCACTTAACTACTAGACCATTGAGTCGGCATCCAACAGTGTTAATGTCTAACCTTAACCAATCCGCGAAGTTGCGCGACCATCTCACATTGTGACTAGTAACTAGTGACTAGCTTCGGGAGGGAGTTCTCGGAGTTCCAGTGAGAAGCTGTGATCAGTGGAGCTAATCCTTGTGGGGTAGAGACAGGTATCTACCGCATTACAATGTAAGATGGTCGCAAAATTTCATGGGTTGATCGAAGTTAGACATTAACACCGTTGGATGCCTGCTCACTGGTCTGAAGTTTAAGCATTGGTGCGCGAGACTGAAGGCCCTAGGTTTGAATCCCGCGAGCTAGATCTTGGATACGCAGTTCTGAGGAGTCCCACGACAGAACGAAACGGTCATCCAGTGCTTTCAGATTTTCAGTGATGGTCTCACATCAATCAGTTCACGATCTCAATCAAAAATTATTTTTTTTTAAAAGAATTACAATAACTGTCATTAAAACGATTATGATTATTATTCTCTACATCAAATGATAAATTTCAAGGGTATGATAATAATTATTTTAAAAAAATAGTGACTATTTTAAGTGCTATCCGAATGTGCTCTCAATTTGTCTAGATATAAACGATTTTTCGCTATAAACCAAATTATCTCCAGCCAAAATCATGTACGAACGTGGCTCTAAACTAATAGTACCAAGGTTACTTAAGTTCATTCTTATTAAAGAACATATTATAGACTTTAATATATACCTGAGAACACTGATAATAATAGCGATAATAATAATAATAATAATAATAATAATAATAATCAAGAGAATAGTTTGGGTTCAAAATGGAAGAGTGTAGAGAATTGCTCATTGATAAGGGGTCTAGGTGTGAACGATAACTTTAAACCACAAATGTTTTGATGTTAGCTTGAATGAAAGTACAGAGTGAACATCAACTCTGAGATGCAAGTACATCCAGCTGACGAGTCCCAAATCGAACGAAACGTGCGTCCTGGATTCCACTGCTGGCCACTATACCTCATTGCTTACAATAATCGTCATTTATGTTTGTTAAAATAGTGCAATATATAGCTCAATCATACTTTTTTATATGTTAATTGTCGTTTTTTTCAAAATTCTTTAATTATATTCAATAGTAATCCATTGAATAACCAGTATCGATTGGGGCATTGGCCACCGACCAGCGCTCTTCATCCAACTCTGCCCTGGGCAATCCTTCCCAATTGTATCGAATACCATTGAGTTAAATCCTATCCATTAAATAATAACCAATATTATATCAGTTAAACCTAAAAATTTCTGTGTATTACGACAGTTTTGATGGATTACTGTTGGGAATTAAGATCTCTATTCCTGTTGTCTTTTTCTTCACTATTTCCATCGGATCACATGAGTCTATGGTTATCTCTATGATGAGAAGAGATAGTGTTGCAATTTGTACAGTGGAAACCTAGTACCAGATGCGGTCGTAGTATAATCTCCAAAAAATCCCTATCTGATTGTGATTATATATATTAGTTGTTTGCATCTTCTTATTTACGTTTTATGACTGTAGCTGAACAGGTAAGTTCACCTTATGAAATACGAGTAGGGTAAAACATGCATCCTAGATTCCATTGCTAGCCACTATTCAGCTTTGCTTAAAATGCTTGAAAATTAATGACAATATCTAGGTAATCCATATAGGATGTATGTATATCAGAAGAGACATAACATTTGCATTAGTTTTTGATGAAGTTTTGTTCTCTGAACTGGATGGTTTGGTCGTGGATCTTTCATCGTTCTTCTGAACGACATCATCAGCACAAATCTTCAGGTAGAAGTCACGTGAAGAAGTCTACCTGAAGTTTGTGCTGACAATGTCGTTCAGAAGAACGATGAATACTCCACGACTAGACCATCCAGTTCAGAGAACGAAACTCCATCAAAATTGTCCACTTGAGCTACAAATCTTTTCCACCATCTCGAAATTGCATTAGTAAACTATTAATGAAAAGATGCAAACAAGCAATATGTATAAATTAAAATTAACTCCACTCCAAAATGCAGTAGCTTTCTGTACTTAGTATTTAAGTGGATAACGGAATGGCATTTGAAGAGAACAGTACTGTGTTTGATCTTCGGAGAGAGGATCAACTTGAATGAAAGTACACCGAAATGATAAGTGCTAGATCAGGAAAAACGCACTTCCTGGATTTCCCTGCTATCGACAAATTGCTTTATTTAGGCTAAATAAATCAATATTTGAGCTATTCAGTTTATTGTAACTCTTCTGAATATCAATCATTTTTAATGATTTCATTATTCCTTTATTACAGTCTACTGTCAGATGAATAAATAGTTGAATACATTATTGCACGTTTATTGATTGAGATCATGAACCGATTGATGTTAGACCACTGTTGAAAACCTAGAATCACTGGCTGTCCGTTTCATTATATTATGGGACTCCTTAACAGTACGCATCCACGATCCCGCTCGCGGGATTCAAACCCAAGTTCCTCGTTCTCTCACTCTCTCCCTCTCTCCCTCTCTCCCTCTCTCTCCCTCTCTCTCCCTCTCTCTCTCGATATATATATATATATATTTATATATATATATAAACTCATTTTTAAGTTGCATTTGTCAAGCTCTCCTCTTTTAATTCTAATGAATCAACCAACGAAAATGAAAGAAAAATATATTTAAACAAAGACATTAATAATGATTGAATTAAAAGAAACATATTCAATGTTGAATAGGTTGCAATTTTAATGAATTCCGTTTGAGAGAAACCTTTTCAATCAAAATGAATTGAATCAATATTACTTATATTAATCATTATGAATAGAAGAAATGAGATGAAAATAATAATGAAATAAGTAAGTAACAAGTAATTAGTGGATTGCAGTGGATTCGAACTACATCATGAGACAAGCGATAACATGGAATCGTGGAGGGAAACATACAAGAAGAAGAAGAAGAAGAAGAAGAAGAAGAAGAAGAAGACGGTCGAAGAATACACTATGTCGGAACTTGGAAACGGACATGAAAAAAGAAGAATAACCATTGAAAAGAACTGGAAAACATTCATCAAGACAAGGTTGGATTGAGAATGTTGCTGAGTGACTTATACTGTTCCATAAGGAGTAGCTGACATAAGTAAGTTAATAACCACCATGTAATATATAAACAAATGGATATTTTAATGCAGGATATGAATTGAAATGTAATACTCTGTCATGAATACGTAAAAGATAAAATAATAGTGGTGCACGTTTTGTAGAAAATTCACAATATAATATAAATATAGTATGAGATGGTTTTGGTTTAATCAGTTGTTCCGTTGAATATAATGAGTTACTTAAATCCATTTCAGTAGTTTTAATAGATTTTTGTTTTATACCAAAAAAATATTTATAAGGTTTTGGCCAATCTGATAAATTAATAGCACTATAAATATGTCCAGCAATATATTCGTGTGGATAACGACAATAGATAATAACGAAATGTTTGTGATTCATTTTCAACTTTGATAAAGTGATCATTTTTTGTTGATTTTGAAGTTTATGTTTACATCTAAGGTCATGTAAACAATATTTTGATCGCATAATACAATTACCATTCAACTCTTCTTATTTTGGTGATGATGATGATGATGATGATGATGATGATGATGATGATGATGATGATGATGATGATGATGAATGATGATGATGATGATGATGATGATGATGATGATGATGATGATGATGATGATGATGATGATGATGATGATGATGATGATGATGATGATGATGATGATGATGATGATGATGATGATGATGATGATGATGATGATGATGATGATGATGATGATGATGATGATGATGATGATGATGATGATGATGATGATGATGATGATGATGATGATGATGATGATGATGATGATGATGATGATGATGATGATGATGATGATGATGATGATGATGATGATGATGATGATGATGATGATGATGATGATTATGATTTGGTGAACGAAAATGAATATGACAATATACATACCGACCTTCGGAAAATAGATGATTTTTTAAAATCTTAGACTTCATCTCAATTAAGCTATTTGCTAGTTGATCTACTTTAATTGTTGGCTTCCCTATTCGACGAATTCTAATAACCTACTCTATGCACATTTAAGGGCTATAATGATGATTTCGTCTTCACTAGAAACTATAAATACCTGACATTTTTGTACCATAATTGACTAGTATTGGAGGCCAAGATGCATATTTCGTCTTATCCGGCACTCATCAGCTGGATGTACCTACATTTGAGTTGATCTTCACCCCAGAAATCCAATCCAGTACTGTTCACGTGTTATCCACATAGCTTCTGATTTTATGAAATAGTGATGTACATAATTAAAAAAGCCACTGATCATTTACAATGCTAAACACCATTTTGAAGATTCTGACATACAATATATATGAATTTAACTCCATGTCATTGCACAATCTAGTAACTATCTGAACTCAGTAGCCAAGGGAATTATGCAATGGCGTTTGAAGTGCACGTTACTGGGTTCGAGTTTCGAAATGAACATCAACTGTGGGATGCAAATACATACAACTGACAATTCCCAAATAAGACAAAAGTGGTGTTTGGATTCCGTTGCTATCCACTATCCATCTCTGTTCATCACGACTTGCAATGCTGACCAGTGTAGATGATGGTTGGTGCCAAGACGTGGCACCAATTCATGAAGTCACCAACTTCTAGTCTTAGCCATGTTGGTAGATGTAAACTACTTAGTTGTGGTTCGCGTGAATATCGTAACCAATGGTTGTAGACTAAGTGTCACACGGCTCAGAATCGATCACAATGGTGTAGATGTATACACCATTTGTGTTCCTTTAAACTATGTGATTAAAATTATTTCATATCTTTCATTCTATCAACTAATTCTTTCTCCCTGTACTATATCCTTACATGCAATCTTTCTTTTATATATTGCCACAACTTAATTAACTACCTTTATGAATTTGGTGTTCATCTTGTTGTGCTAATGAGGTTATGGCGACTTGGACCGAAGCATGTATATGCCTGGTGCTACGTTGCAACTGACTGACTGACTGACTAATGACAGTATTGATGCAATTCGCACAGGATGTATATATACTAAAAGACACTGGTCAATTACTAATCCTTCACATCAATTTCGAAGATTCAAACAACCGATACAAATCGATTAATACAATATGATTAGTTATAAAATGTAATTCCTAAAACAATACAAAGAAATAAACATCGAAAGTTATGACTGTCTACAACAAAACTTGATATTTATAGGGTATCAACTACTTATATACATGAATTACAAAGATCATTAATTACATAAGAACGTATTTTGACGGAGTTTTGTTCTCTGAGCTGGATGGTGTGGTCGTGGAGCTTTCATCAATCTTCTGAACGACATCATCAGCACAAACTCAGAGATCAAAACTCCATCAAAATCATCTACCTGAGCTACAAATCTTCTCCACCATCTCATTACCTGAGAACATCAAAAAAATATTAAACCATATTACAAAATGTATGTCTAATGTTAGATTAGTACACTTTCAATGAATAGTTCAAAGGGATATCTACAATTGTATGTGATATAATCCATTCAATTGAGTGGAAAATATCTATGAACTAAACTCTTATTATCAATATTTCAGAATAATAACAAACATCAGTGCGCATCCACGATCCCGACTCGCGAAATTCCAACCAAGGACCTCTCAGTGTTGCGAGCAAGCGCTTAGTCACTAGACCACAAAACTGAAAACCAACGGTTTTAATGTCTAACTTCGACTAATCCACGAGATTGAGCGACACAACCACCATTATTATTCATAATTTAAAAAATATTAATATCTCATCAATTCTGCCAAATATTTTAATACCCCTCGTAATGTTCCTGTCATTTGACGAAGAAAACTATATTTACATTAGAAATTTTTACATATCCTCCCCACATACACTGTAGTGAAGGAGAACACCAGTGGGCTCATAACCAAATATATTTGAATACAAAATTACAGAATCTCTTAGTAAAATCTGGGAAGCATACAGTGAATACTTCATTTGCAAAATGTCAATCACTTATCTCAGACCTCATTGTTCTTTCGTTTTTACATCAATTGTTCACTGTTCTCGTTCTCTTCTCTTCAATCTTCTTAATATACCTCTAGGTATTTTGCTTTCTATTGTTGATACATACTACTTATATCTTCCGACATCAGTAGTATGTACCTCAACACTAAGACAGTCCAAATAAAATGTATGCCCTTTTTCACTGTGACAGGAAGGTTATAATTTATGGGGAGATTTTGTCATCCCTTCAAAAAGATGAAATCAAAGACAACGAATCAAAAGTCAGGTAGGAATTTTAAAAAAAATTAATAGTAGCATAACCATATCAATGAATAGTAAAAGCCATTTGTTGTTATGTCAGTGAAATACAACATAGGACCAGGCACATTTATGAATTTATATTAGTCTAATGTGAAAACAAAGGAGAAAAACTTTGGTTACATTGGAGGATTTATTGAAATGATAAATTTATTGCATAATTTGTATAGAATGTAAATTTGTCCTAACTAATAAAGGACTTGTATATGACTTATACAAGCTAAACAATCAAAACATTAATCTTATGATGACGTAAGGAAATCACTATGAATTGTACTAACTGTGAATGTGATAGACTGATTGTCTGAATTGATGATAGTCAAGTGATAATTCTCTTTTCTATGAACTCAAATAAGAATAACACATGTAATAGTTGAATTCATAATTCCATTAAAGCTTGACCATCATGTGAAACCTGGAAACAATAGATGGCTGTTTCGTCCTAGAACGGAACTCCTCAGTGATGCCCATCCATGATCACGCCATATACTAATCGAACCCAGGATCTCTGATGGGAATCTTGAATAATCTAATCCAAATTTACATCGGACGAATATATATGGGATATTTTACACAAAATAGATATGACTAGAATTTCATGTGCTCACTAGTGACTGGCTCCAAGATGGGTTTCGTGGAGTTCTAGTGAGAAGCCGTGATTAGTGGAGTTCAACCAAGTCTGTTGTAGAAGCCGTTACTCACTGCTGACAATGGTGAATGGTCGCGCAATATTGTGAATTGGTTGAAATTATACATTAGTACCGTTGGATGCCTGCTCAATGGTCTAGAGGTAAAGCGTTCGCGTGTGAGATCGGAGGTCTTCGATTCAGTTGGTGTGTAGCAAGATCGCGGATAAGCGCTGATGAGGAGTCACACACTAGGATGAAACGGTTGTCCAGTGCTTCCAGGTTTTACATGATGGTTTAGCTTTATTCGAGCTATGAATCCGACTTTTAAAAGTGATTAAAATATGTTGAAAAATTCAATGATTGTTAGACATTAGTTGTTCAGATCATTGATGAACCTATGAAACTAAAGATATTAGGTAAGAAATTATTGATCGTCTTGATGCTTGATTATTTGTTTTCGGAAGGCTGGGACTGGACTGATAAGAGAAACTTTGGTATTATTTTAAGTTCCATAGCTGAGAATTTTACAAATATAATTACCTCTTGAGTATTTCACATTAAATCAACCCCCCTAACTCTTGGATACTATTCGTTTTTATAATTTTGACGAATGTTCTGATATATTATGTTAATAAAGCTTAATTATCAGGCTTATTATTGAGCATAGCAAATAATTACGTCATCATAAAACTTGAATTAGGACATTACAAATCTGTTTAGAATTTTTAAAGCTTAATAAATAGAAAATCAATATTTTTTAAAACCAGTTAACTCTTAATTATTGGTTATGTAATATCCAAACGAAAAATCAATGAATGATAATCAATCAACTAGATTATGTGTTTATTTATATTGATTTTATTATAAGATTTCGTTTGATCAACTGACTATGATTAAACGATTTACTAGTCTTAGTTACAGTATCTCACACTCACAGTCAATTTTGGCTTGATCTTGTATAATTGTTACTTTCCATTTTATGGTATGATGCCGTCTGAATAGAAACTGCGTATGTCCAAAATAAACGATTCCTATAATAATAGAGACTATGATTGTGTTATGGACTGAAACGGGCAGGGTTAGGCAAGGAGAATTAATAATGATTTATACTTGGCTCTAGGCAGCTCGTACTGGTTAAGGCGTCATTGGTTTCGCATAATAATTTCTAGATAAATTATGTATAGTATCATTCGTGGGTTAGATGGTTGGAGATAGTCAGTTGGAAGCCCTGGATATAGGTTTCGTGCAAGTTGAAAGTCGTCAGTTAGTGGTGATTGTATTTATAACGAAGTTAATGTTAACGAGTGAATCGGAACACAATTTACCTAATTTCGCAGTCTAAGATGTTACCATTGAGCTGTTCGGGCTTCAGTTGACCTCTTTAGAACTCAGGTATTTACGTTAACTGATCATTGAATAGTGACTGAAATCACGTGCGTTTAGCCCTCAGTGTCGATCATATTTTACCGGCAAATTTGAACGCAATCACTAGTTTTATTGACCTGATTTAGCGTGAAAAGTTAGATCGGTAACATCGACAGTTATGACTGTCTACAATAAAACTTGATATTTATAGGGTATCAACTACTTATATACATGAATTACAAAGATCATTAATTACATAAGAACGTATTTTGACGGAGTTTTGTTCTCTGAGCTGGATGGTGTGGTCGTGGAGCTTTCATCAATCTTCTGAACGACATCATCAGCACAAACTTCAGATAGATGATGAAAGCTCCACGACCAAACCATCCAACTCAGAGAACAAAACTCCATCAAAATCATCTACCTGAGCTACAAATCTTCTCCACCATCTCATTACCTGAGAACATCAAAAAAATATTAAACCATATTACAAAATGTATGTCTAATGTTAGATTAGTACACTTTCAATGAATAGTTCAAAGGGATATCTACAATTGTATGTGATATAATCCATTCAATTGAGTGGAAAATATCTATGAACTAAACTCTTATTATCAATATTTCAGAATAATAACAAACATAAAAAGAAAAACAGACTTTAATTTATTCTTGGATTTGATTAGTAAACAACTTATGGATAATAATCAAATTATCATTTTCACTATGGATTAATATTATTCAGATAGCTATTATAAACCAGAGAAGACTCATTTATTCTGAACAGTAAGGTAAATCTAGCTGACGAGTGTCGAATAGGACGAAACACGGAGCCTAGATTCCATCGATAACCATCATCCATCTTTGCTTAAAACAGTATCGAGGCATTACACACAGGACACATATATGATAACAAGGGACTAATCAATCTCAGTCTTAAACAGCAAGGGAAGATACAAGCAAATAATAAAGTAAGATATAAGGGTATTAATTTCGACCTAGTTGTGTTGGTTCATAGTGTGGTATGTGTTACTGATATCAACAGATATAAATAGTATGTATCATCAATCGAAAGTGGAATAACTTGATGGCACATGGTTAGGAAAATCGAATAGTGATTAATATTGGAAATAAAGGAACAACAAAGAGTGTATACACCGACGCCACTGTGATCGATTCTGAGCCGTGTGACACTTAGTCTACAACCATTGGCTACGATAGTCACACGGACAACAATCAAGTACTCTGCATCTAACAACATGGATAAGACTACAAGTTACTGACTTCAAGCACTGATGCCACGTTTTACTTTGGCCACCCCTAACTTTCTTCCAATCATCCCCAACACTGGTCAGCATTGCACGTCGTGGTAATCGGTGTTCAGACATACGCAATACATGGCCCAACCATCTCAGTCTATGAACATTCACAACCTCATCAACTGATTTACCATCATTCCCTAATACCCTGTGCGCTGAGATTTCGTCAGACGCCAACCCATTAGGGCTGACCAGACTTCCAACAAAAGTGAAGTTGTCAACGTGTTCGACTACTTCACTCCATATCCTCAGTTCAGGTGTTGACGCAGACCAGTCCTGAAACAGCAACTTGCATTTAGAGGGAGAGAAGCGCATTCCAAACATTCTGGCATTGTTGCTTAGTGCTACCAAAAGACTCTGCATTTTATCAGCGTCTCCATCAAACAGGACTATATCATCTGAGAATTCTAAGTCGATAAGTGGACTTCCTGGAAGGAGATCAATGCCCGAGAATTCAGTCGACGAGAATGTTATTTCCATTAGTAGGTCGATGATGAAGTTAAACAAAAATGGGGAAAGTGGACAGTCTTGTCGGACACCACTTGAGGTTGCAAAAGTGGATGATAGTTCGCCATAAGCTCTGACTCGACTAGTAGTGTTCGACAGTTATGACTGTCTACAATAAAACTTGATATTTATAGGGTATCAACTACTTATGTACATGAATTGCAAAGATCATTAATTACCTAAGAACATGTCTTTAGTCTTCATCTTTTCCTTTGGCCTAGAGGATTACATGTGAGGACGGCGGCTCTACAGGCTAAGAAAAGAAACTGCAATAAATAAGTCAAGTGTAAGTCAGATTATTTCGGAAAAAGACAACACTCTCATCTGCTCCTAGTCCAGACGTTTGGAAAGATGGGCGGAACATTTCAGAGAACAGTCTAGCTGGCCTTCAGCTACTCTACAACTACCCTCCATTCCCAGACAGTGTGAATGGAACATTGAAGTAGGTCCCCCAACTCTAGCAGAAGTTCAAAAGGCTATAGTTAATCTGAAACCAGGAAGGGTAGCTGGTCCAGATGGATTGGCTCCAGATAATTTTAAGGGTGGTAATCCAATTTTGGCGATTAGGTTGACTGATATTTTAGATAAGATCTGGGAGTTAGACGTTATTCCATCTGACTGGTCAGAATCACTTATCGTCCCAATACATAAGAGAGGGCTAAAATCATCCTGTGACAACCATAGAGGGATTAGTTTAACTAATACAGTATCTAACATACTAGCCCCGATAATTATCAGACGCCTAACTAAGACTCGTGAACTGCAAACACGAGAGAATCAAGCTGGCTTCAGACCTGGTCGTGACTACATCGACCACATATTCACCATTCGTCAGGTACTAGAACATTGGCGTACTTATCGGCGTCCGACAATGGTGGTCTTTCTTGACTTAAAAGCAGCATTTGACTCGATAGACCGCGAGATTCTGTGGCAGTGTGTCATTGAAAGGCGTACTTCAGAAGTAGATAATAGTTCTCAAGAAATCTAAACACGACGATGTATCAATTACACGAAACCCCCATTTGCATATTTACGCTATACAGATCTTATAACTGATATGAAATAAACCTAAAATACCCGTTACGTTCAATTAGCAGAATTTATGCTTTCCGCCTACGTTAAGTTCGAAACTTAATACAATGTCATTTATTAGAGTGAGAAAAATCTGTGTCTAAACCACTTTTATTTTAAGAAAGAAAACAAAACACAATATGGCTTTATTAGTACTATAAATAGAAAGCACTGTTCAGAAAAAACTTGAGTTTCCGCTATGTACGACATGAGACCACTAAAAACAACGAATTACAAAGCTAGTTTAATTCCATTTAAATGATAGTAAGGCTAAGTGACACAACTGCAATTTATTCCGACGTCTTGAACAGATGTGTCGAAAGATGAGAGTCAAAGACCTAATTTCTGGCACCAGGTTTTTGAAACTACAACATAGAACGTGAAGTGCACTGTATAACAGTGGATCATATTGTAGAACGTCCTTCGTAATTAAGAAATGTGTAAAGTTGTTAGTGTTTGACCATAGACCGACGTATCTCACGTAAAGAGAAATAACTGAGTATATAACGATCTTAAAAGCAAATTATTATATTGAGCTGATAAACCGATAAACAGGGCCGCAAATACCTAACAATTGGAAAATGACAAATAGAACAAACCGTTCTATTCAAAATCGGTAACTTATTGCATTGTCTGATTTCAGCCACCACCTAATTACAATGTAATGTTGACTGACACAGATGATCACGAAAAAACTACAGGATAAGTATTTTAGCGGATTTATGATGACACTATACAGTTTTTGATAAAAACAATACGCAGATATTCCTATTCAAAGAAAATTGGTTTCTCTATAATCGAAGTCTAATTTCTGTCAAACTATTCGTTCAAATATCAACGAATATTTGTATAAATTATCTAGATCCTATTGTGGACGATAGAACCCCAAAAACTCATAGTTTGTAATTTTATCTTGTGGAGCTTGTATGCAGATGTATGCGTGAGAATTTTTTACCATCCATGCACATAGTCGATCGATGAACTTATCGATTAAATGTTTGAATATATCAATGGCAGTCAATTGGAGAATTTATCGATTAAATATTTAAAAGCTCCATGACAAAATCGATATATATATACATTTATTTGTATATCTAAGTTTTAAATTGTGTTTCTGGTGCTCGCTCGTTTTCTGGTTGTTTGCAGAATATATTTTCCATAACACGGTTGGACTTCTCCTTCTAGGTAGCGGGTCTGGAACGCATCAATAGCTAGATTACTGGTCTTGGTCATTGAGTCTCGTTCTCGTTCGCAGTTTAAGTGAACTCGTGAAGCTTCAAACCTAGCAAATTTGGCGACGGGGATGGGATATCGCAGACGGCAGTCTTGACATTATTGGAAATCCAGTCAACAAAGTAACTGCAGTTTTTAGTCTGAGAATTCAATATCTGCTCGTCGACTTCCTTCATAGACATACGGCCACGGAAAATAGCCGCGACTGCTAAATAGCGCCAATGACGCGGATCTCATGCAGCCATCATATTCTGTGCGTCAAACATTTGTTGAGTCAACTCAGGAACAGTGAGTGAACGATATTGTTGACTGCTACGGCTAGTAAACGTTGCGAAGCCAGGCATGAGAAAGTGCAGACCTGGGAATGGGACCATATTCACGGCCAGCTTCCGAAGATCAGCATTCAACTGTCCGTGAAATCGGAGACAAGTAATGACTCCAGACATTGTCGCACTGACCAGATGATTTAAATCACCGTATGTAGGGGTTGTGAGTTTCAATGTTCGGAAACAAATGTCATAAAGCGCTTCATTGTCAATGCAGTATGTTTCATCAGTATTCTCAACCAGTTGGTGAACAGATAACGTCGCGTTGTAAGGCTCAACAACAGTATCGGATACTTTTGGTGAGAGGACAACCAAAAATGTATTCATAATTCGATCAGGATACTCCTCACGAATCTTTGAGATCAACAATGTCCCCATACCAGAACCTGTACTACCACCGAGTGAATGAGTCAATTGAAATCCTTGAAGGCAGTCACAGGATTGCGCTTCTTTTCTTACGACATCTAAGACGGAATCTACAAGTTCGGCTCCTTCTGTATAATGGCCTTTAGCCCAATTATTCCCAGTGCCACTTTGACCAAATACAAAATTATCAGGACGGAAAATTTGTCCGAAAAGTCCTAAACGAACACTATCCATTGTACCTGGTTCTATGTTCACTAACATAGCTCTTGGAACATATTTGCAACGGAAGTTATTTTAGATGAGCATGGCATTGATCCGACTGGAACATATCATGGTGATTTAGATCTACAGCTTGAACGAATCAATATTTATTATAATGAAGCATCCGGTGGTGACATGTGTTATAATGAGTCACAGCGGAACAGTCTCATATGGGTGGGTGTAGACTACCTGGTTGGGGACCGCGAGATGTTAACAACCAATGGTTAGAAACCCTGAATGACATGGCTCAAAATCGTTTGGAATGGCACAGGTGCATCCACTCTTTATGTCCTCCCAAATTCTAATCTTCTGATTTCTTCATGTCCCTTTCTTTCTCTTCCCAAATTTATTTCACTGTATTATACTCCTTGAATAACATCTTCAAACCCTAATGTTTCCGATTACTGCTTGTACTTTTACTAACTTTAGCACTACGGGATTTGAATTGACAACTGCATCTCTGTACTAATGTGGTGTGTCAACTCGATCTGATGTACGTACGTACGAAGTTCTACGTTGTGACTGACTGACTGACTGACTGTGGCACAGATTCATTCCTTTTGTTATCGTGCGCTATAAAGTAAAGATTGTGCACCTGTATTTTCGAATAATATCTGGATTGTTTAATCTTTCTTAGAATGATAGCTGCTATATTATTTTAATTCCTTTGCAATTAAACGTTAATATGTGGGAACTTAGATAAACGTATATACATTCTTGGATTCTACATTGATTATGGCTGACTGTCTAAAGATATATGCAAAACTGTTCGTTATTTATTCTTAGTCGGGTTACGTATGTGATATGACAATCCAATGGATATAAAGATAGATGTTCAAAGTAACACAGCGTCTAATTACATGATTGAGATACACATGCAGAAATGGTAAAGCGTAAATGTTAATCAGTCAGTCAGCTACAACGTAGGACCAGGCACATAATGCATCGTTTCAAGTTGCCATACCTAATTAGCACAGCAAGATGAACACCGGACTCATAGAAGTAATTAATTCAGTGGTGGCAATATATGAAACACTGAGTGCCTATAATGACATAGTACGCGAGGAAAGAATTAGTTCATAGAAAGAAAGATATGAACGGCCTTCAGCTACTCTACAACTACCCTCCATTCCCAGACAGTGTGAATGGAACATTGAAGTAGGTCCCCCAACTCTAGCAGAAGTTCAAAAGGCTACAGTTAATCTGAAACCAGGAAGGGTAGCCTCGATACTGCTATAAGCAAAGATGGATGATGGTTATCGATGGAATCTAGGCTCCGTGTTTCGTCCTATTCGACACTCGTCAGCTAGATTTACCTTACTGTTCAGAATAAATGAGTCTTCTCTGGTTTATAATAGCTATCTGAATAATATTAATCCATAGTGAAAATGATAATTTGATTATTATCCATAAGTTGTTTACTAATCAAATCCAAGAATAAATTAAAGTCTGTTTTTCTTTTTATGTTTGTTATTATTCTGAAATATTGATAATAAGAGTTTAGTTCATAGATATTTTCCACTCAATTGAATGGATTATATCACATACAATTGTAGATATCCCTTTGAACTATTCATTGAAAGTGTACTAATCTAACATTAGACATACATTTTGTAATATGGTTTAATATTTTTTTGATGTTCTCAGGTAATGAGATGGTGGAGAAGATTTGTAGCTCAGGTAGATGATTTTGATGGAGTTTTGTTCTCTGAGTTGGATGGTTTGGTCGTGGAGCTTTCATCATCTATCTGAAGTTTGTGCTGATGATGTCGTTCAGAAGATTGATGAAAGCTCCACGACCACACCATCCAGCTCAGAGAACAAAACTCCGTCAAAATACGTTCTTATGTAATTAATGATCTTTGTAATTCATGTATATAAGTAGTTGATACCCTATAAATATCAAGTTTTATTGTAGACAGTCATAACTGTCGATGTTACCGATCTAACTTTTCACGCTAAATCAGGTCAATAAAACTAGTGATTGCGTTCAAATTTGCCGGTAAAATATGATCGACACTGAGGGCTAAACGCACGTGATTTCAGTCACTATTCAATGATCAGTTAACGTAAATACCTGAGTTCTAAAGAGGTCAACTGAAGCCCGAACAGCTCAATGGTAACATCTTAGACTGCGAAATTAGGTAAATTGTGTTCCGATTCACTCGTTAACATTAACTTCGTTATAAATACAATCACCACTAACTGACGACTTTCAACTTGCACGAAACCTATATCCAGGGCTTCCAACTGACTATCTCCAACCATCTAACCCACGAATGATACTATACATAATTTATCTAGAAATTATTATGCGAAACCAATGACGCCTTAACCAGTACGAGCTGCCTAGAGCCAAGTATAAATCATAATATATCAGAACATTCGTCAAAATTATAAAAACGAATAGTATCCATGATTTAGGGGGGTTGATTTAATGTGAAATACTCAAGAGGTAATTATATTTGTAAAATTCTCAGCTATGGAACTTAAAATAATACCAAAGTTTCTCTTATCAGTCCAGTCCCAGCCTTCCGAAAACAAATAATCAAGCATCAAGACGATCAATAATTTCTTACCTAATATCTTTAGTTTCATAGGTTCATCAATGATCTGAACAACTAATGTCTAACAATCATTGAATTTTTCAACATATTTTAATCACTTTTAAAAGTCGGATTCATAGCTCGAATAAAGCTAAACCATCATGTAAAACCTGGAAGCACTGGACAACCGTTTCATCCTAGTGTGTGACTCCTCATCAGCGCGCATCCGCGATCTTGCTACACACCAACTGAATCGAAGACCTCCGATCTCACACGCGAACGCTTTACCTCTAGACCATTGAGCAGGCATCCAACGGTACTAATGTATAATTTCAACCAATTCACAATATTGCGCGACCATTCACCATTGTCAGCAGTGAGTAACGGCTTCTACAACAGACTTGGTTGAACTCCACTAATCACGGCTTCTCACTAGAACTCCACGAAACCCATCTTGGAGCCAGTCACTAGTGAGCACATGAAATTCTAGTCATATCTATTTTGTGTAAAATATCCCATATATATTCGTCCGATGTAAATTTGGATTAGATTATTCAAGATTCCCATCAGAGATCCTGGGTTCGATTAGTATATGGCGTGATCATGGATGCGCATCACTGAGGAGTTCCGTACTAGGACGAAACAGCCATCTATTGTTTCCAGGTTTCACATGATGGTCAAGCTTTAATGGAATTATGAATTCAACTATTACATGTGTTATTCTTATTTGAGTTCATAGAAAAGAGAATTATCACTTGACTATCATCAATTCAGACAATCAGTCTATCACATTCACAGTTAGTACAATTCATAGTGATTTCCTTACGTCATCATAAGATTAATGTTTTGATTGTTTAGCTTGTATAAGTCATATACAAGTCCTTTATTAGTTAGGACAAATTTACATTCTATACAAATTATGCAATAAATTTATCATTTCAATAAATCCTCCAATGTAACCAAAGTTTTTCTCCTTTGTTTTCACATTAGACTAATATAAATTCATAAATGTGCCTGGTCCTATGTTGTATTTCACTGACATAACAACAAATGGCTTTTACTATTCATTGATATGGTTATGCTACTATTAATTTTTTTTAAAATTCCTACCTGACTTTTGATTCGTTGTCTTTGATTTCATCTTTTTGAAGGGATGACAAAATCTCCCCATAAATTATAACCTTCCTGTCACAGTGAAAAAGGGCATACATTTTATTTGGACTGTCTTAGTGTTGAGGTACATACTACTGATGTCGGAAGATATAAGTAGTATGTATCAACAATAGAAAGCAAAATACCTAGAGGTATATTAAGAAGATTGAAGAGAAGAGAACGAGAACAGTGAACAATTGATGTAAAAACGAAAGAACAATGAGGTCTGAGATAAGTGATTGACATTTTGCAAATGAAGTATTCACTGTATGCTTCCCAGATTTTACTAAGAGATTCTGTAATTTTGTATTCAAATATATTTGGTTATGAGCCCACTGATGTTCTCCTTCACTACAGTGTATGTGGGGAGGATATGTAAAAATTTCTAATGTAAATATAGTTTTCTTCGTCAAATGACAGGAACATTACGAGGGGTATTAAAATATTTGGCAGAATTGATGAGATATTAATATTTTTTAAATTATGAATAATAATGGTGGTTGTGTCGCTCAATCTCGTGGATTAGTCGAAGTTAGACATTAAAACCGTTGGTTTTCAGTTTTGTGGTCTAGTGACTAAGCGCTTGCTCGCAACACTGAGAGGTCCTTGGTTGGAATTTCGCGAGTCGGGATCGTGGATGCGCACTGATGTTTGTTATTATTCTGAAATATTGATAATAAGAGTTTAGTTCATAGATATTTTCCACTCAATTGAATGGATTATATCACATACAATTGTAGATATCCCTTTGAACTATTCATTGAAAGTGTACTAATCTAACATTAGACATACATTTTGTAATATGGTTTAATATTTTTTTGATGTTCTCAGGTAATGAGATGGTGGAGAAGATTTGTAGCTCAGGTAGATGATTTTGATGGAGTTTTGTTCTCTGAGTTTGTGCTGATGATGTCGTTCAGAAGATTGATGAAAGCTCCACGACCACACCATCCAGCTCAGAGAACAAAACTCCGTCAAAAAACGTTCTTATGTAATTAATGATCTTTGTAATTCATGTATATAAGTAGTTGATACCCTATAAATATCAAGTTTTATTGTAGACAGTCATAACTTTCGATGTTTATTTCTTTGTATTGTTTTAGGAATTACATTTTATAACTAATCATATTGTATTAATCGATTTGTATCGGTTGTCTGAATCTTCGAAATTGATGTGAAAGATTAGTAATTGACCAGTGTCTTTTAGTATATATACATCCTGTGCGAATTGCATCAATACTGTCATTAGTCAGTCAGTCAGTCAGTTGCAACGTAGCACCAGGCATATACATGCTTCGGTCC